TTGATGCCACATTCTTCATCATATTGTCCAACTCCTCTGATGATTTGTTCTGCATAAAGATACAATAAGTGTGTTGAGAGGATATAAGCCTGAAGCTCACCTTTCCTGATTTTAAATCATGTAGTATGCCCTTGTTCTGTTAACATGACTACTTCATAATTAATTTATAGGTTCAGAATGAAGTGTTTTGTAATTCCCATTCTTCTCAAGGGTCGCTATAATTTGTCATGACCCACTGATTTGAATGCCTTAGCATACTGAATAAACCACAAGCAGACATCTTTCTGGCATTCTCTGCTTTCAGCCAGGATCCATGTGACACCTGCTTTGATCCCTGTTCCACATCCTCTTTTGAAATCAGCATGAACCTCTGGCAGCTCTATTAATCCATGGCTGCAACCCCAATTGGATCATCTTCAGCAAAATTTACTTGCATGTTATAGCAACAATATTGTTCTATAATTTGAGCATTCTATGGTCTCACTTTTCTTTGGAATGGGTACAAATTTGGATCACTTGTAGTCAGTTAGCCAAATAGCTATCTTCCATATTTTCTATTATGGTGGTTCTGTGCATTCTTTCCATCTTCTTTTGATGCTTCCTGCATCATTCAATGTTTTTCCTATAGAATCTTTCAAGATTACAACTCAAGGTCTGGGTTTTACTGAGTGCGTTAGTCTGGGTTGATTAGAGAAACAAATTCATATACACTCATATGTGTATATGAAAGAGCTTTATATAAAAGAGCCATTGTATATTGAGAAAACATCCCACCCCAGTCCAGATCAAGTTCATAAGTCCAATATTATTCCATATGTCTGATATCAGTCTATAAATTTCTCTTAAGCCTCAGGCAACACATGCTATAATGCTGAATGCAGGAAGATCACAGGCCAGTAGGTGGAAATTTTTGTGGATCCACTTGTGGTAAAAGCATCTCAGCTATGGCGTGGGTCTCCACATGGTTCCTCCAGCTCCAGGGCTCTGGTTCCATCAGCGTAGCCCCATCTGACTTGTCATCAGGAATGTCTTGCAGGGACAGTGTTTCAAAAGCAGGAAAGGGAAGGAAGAGAGAGAGAGAGACTGGGTCCAGCATCCAGTAAGCTATTTCTCTGCTCCGGACCTCCAATTGAGATCACCAAGTTGTGACCTGATTGACAGGCTAGACTCCACTCCTTCAGTCAAATTGACAGGACATTATATAACTGCCACACTGAGTTATTTTGGTTTAATATACGCTAATTATGTACTTCCTTTTTCGTTTTCTAACTATATATAGGCCTTTGCATATTTCATCAGAAGGTTTTATTTTATCTTCTCAAGCTGCCCTTTGACATGTTCTGTTCATTTCTTGCATTTGCTTTAGCTACTCTTTGATTAAAAACAAGTCTGAGTCTCTTCTGACATCCACACTGGTCTTTTCTTTCTCTCCTGTCTTTTTAATGACCTTCAGTTCTCTTCATGAATGATGTTCACGATGTCCCCCCAACAGGTCACCAGGTCTTCTGTCATTAGTGTTCAGTGTACCAAGTGTTCTTGAAATCTTCTCAAAATTCTTGTGGGATATACTTAAGCCCATTTTGGGGTTCTAATGAACTTGTTTTAATTGTCTTAAGCTTCAAACTAAACTTAACTATGAGCAATTAATGATCTGTTCCACAATCA